GCCGCTTCATGGTAGCCCGTATGAGTTTAAGATTGCTTATAGTATCGCATAGTTCAGGAGCTGATACATGATGCTTAGATAAAAACATGCAAGAACCAAAAGTCGCAAAAAGTCAAAGCCACACTAACCAATATTGACGATTAGTATCACTCCCAGGCATGGGCCCCGAGTATAACAATCACAGAGTCGTTGCCCAATGCCCCGGGCGTAACGGGCCCCTCTTCTTTACCACATACTATAGGTTTCAAATTCTATATACCAGTATCAGTGCAATGGAACCAAGATTAAAGAAGCATATTATGACGTACACAATCTGAATTTCCTCTTCCTGGCCCACAGTACATACTTAGATCCTTTATCCCTCAATAGGGTATGCATGTTTTCTAGTCTTATTAGCAAAAGCTATATAGTATATTTGTCCAGTCAAACTGTGGCCTTCCCCAGGGTTCGGATTCAACTATCAGTTCATATTCTAGTCCGCTCCTCGTCATTGTCCATTCTGTTTTCAAGTTAGGCAAGCCAGGAGTGGATGCGAGCCAAATTTGCCTGTATTAGATTTAGTATGAAGCAGAAAGTGTATTATCAGTGTACTCTATTCTCTGTGTACAAACAGCACCCGTAGATGTAGCCTCTCACACCGCCCTCAAGTTTTGCCAGCAGAAAAGGTGGGGCGGAGAACAATCACTACTTGTGACGTTCCATTTATCTTGCTTCTGTTTGGCTCATGTACTTCAAGATCTGATATCTCAGCAGATTCAAGTTTCAGTAAACTGATAGCAAGCCGGATGGTAAGCTCGTAGAACCACGCTCCTGATCTCTTTTGCCAGTGCCATAATAGGCATAATGGAGTACTCACGGCAAGAAGCCTTTAAAAAGGTACAGACAAGCTCCATTCACATTCTGTACAGTGACATGGCTAATGCACTTCAAAGCTTCGGGACCCTTGTGTTGAGCTCAGCTCTGTTGGCCTGAGATACCGTGGCCATCAGGCATCCCCAAACGATGTATTCCGGGCTCTCAAACCAGTGCAGAGCGTCCTGAAGGAACTCTCAAGCAAAGGTTCACTGGACGAAAAGCTGGCAGAATATGCATTCTTTCCGCTGTCTCACATTTTCAATGAGAGCCAGAGAATTTCGGCTAATTGCTTGGAATTGGCAGTCGACTGCTTGCGGATATTGGTTGCTGATGGGTGGCGACAACGCCTATCCCCGCAAATGGGCAAGCAGCTCATGATACTGCTTACGTTGATTATTGGAGGACCTCCAAGTAAGGCCAATAGTAACCAGCAAACAAAATCCAAGCCAGCGGAATTGTCTATCGCTGGCTTTGACTGTCTTTCAGCCATCTTTGATGTTATGGAAGGGCCTGTAGCGCAAAGGACGATCTATAACGAAATCGGTACAGCGACTGTTGTTGACCAGACTGTGTATGTCTTGCTTGAAGGAATTTTAGACACTACATCAGACGACCTTTGCGTTTCTGCCGCAAAAGCCCTTCAAGCCCTGTACTATCGAATAACTGACCGGGTAGTTCTGGCTAGCGTAATGCCACGGACGGTCTCGACGCTAACAAAGGTCATCAAGCCAACAACTCAAGTACGACGCTCTTACAAGCTACTTTCTGCTTGTATTAAGGTCCTTACACACATGCTTAAAGTTGTTCTTAATGACCAAGTAGCGAGCGTCGCACCAGAGAAGCCCGCTCAGTCCCAGGAATGTGGTGATGGTCTTGTGCTTGATGAATCCTGGCTGAAGGCCACAACTACGCAAATCAAGCTTGCGCTTGCGAATGTTATCCAGGTTAGGCGACATGACAGGCCTGAAGTACAAGAGTCGCTATTAGAACTATGCTCAATGGTCGTGGAGGATTGCAGAAGCACACTGCAAGAGTCGCTGCCGCTAGTGGTTGAGACTATGGTCGTGCTATCTGAAACTAGTGATGACGAATCACCTAACAATGCATACACGATCCTCATGCATCTTGCCACCGCATATGCTGAGGTATTGGATGCCCTTAAGAACTCTCTGCATGCTTGGATTACCGCTTTCCCGAGAACCATGCAAAGCAATGATGAAACGTCGAAGCAATGGGCACTTAAACAGATATCCACTGCTTTTCAGATATTGTCCCAGATCCAATCCGGGTCTGACATACTCACTACTGGACTTGCATCAGGACTGTGTGACAGCGTTTCAGCAGCCATCAACCATTCAAACAATGCTCTTCAACCTTTGAACCCTGAAACATCAGGCAGTCAAACACTAGAAGTGCTTCACCATGGAAATCAGTCAAGATCTTTCCCACCGGTGCTTTTGGAACATCGCAGTCAACAGCAAACCCTCAAAGACCTTCAATCCATGATTCTCAGGCTTAACAGGTCCGAATCCGGAAGTAATATCACACGTCTAATCATCAACCGGGTCCATCAAAAAACAGGCAATTCTATTGCGCCTTTTTGGTTGGCGTTAGAATTCCTCAAAAGCGGTTCCCAACTCACTAGTCTTGATGAATTCATTTCATCTGACTTTATCGAACCGTCGTCCCTGGTTTCTACGAGAGCTAACATGATCGAAGAACTATACTACATCTCACTCCCTGTACTAAGCGAATCATTGCCCGACGAATCAAAAGACTGGCGAACTTCGGCCCTTGCTCTAGAAGTAATCGCACTTCAGGCCCAACAGCTTCATGAAGAATTTCGGCCAGAGTTGATGGACGCATTATATCCTGTTCTCCAACTTCTATCATCGCCCAACCCAAACCTTCAGAGACATGCTATGGTTTGTCTCAATGTACTAACGGAAGCCTGTAACTATGAGAGCACGAGCACGATGGTTATTGAAAACGTCGACTACCTTGTGAACTCAGTGGCCTTGAAGCTAAACACGTTCGATGTCTCACCGTATCCACCCCAGGTGTTGTTCATGATGGTCAAGCTATGCGGTGTGCGGTTGATTCCATATCTCGACGATCTTGTCGATTCAATCTTTGGGATATTGGATATGTATCACGGATATCCAAAACTCGTTGAAATGATGTTCAAAACCTTGGCCGCCATTGTTGAGGAAGGGACCAAGAGTCCTTCATTCCTGGCAATAGGCGATGGAACGGACAGCAACCGTGCGGGACATCGCAAGAAGCAGCACAAGAGGTTACAGATCTCTACTCTTGCTAAGGACCTGAAGAATCGGAAAGCGAAACGTGCCAGGCACCTGGACGACTTTCCTGACGCTGACAAGCACGTTTCCCACCCAGAACGACCGTGGACCACAAAGCCTGATAAGCCGGTCGAGCCAGAAGAGGATATCGAGACGCTTCTGAACAAGGCCACAGAAGAATCAGACGAACCACTGCCTGCACCACGCGAACCTGAAGCCCAAGAAAAGCCTTTGAGCAAATCACACAACCTATTGCTGCACATCATCAAGTCGATCCCTTCCCATCTTTCTTCTCCATCGCCTTACCTCCGCCGGTCCTTACTCTCTATCCTTACCCAGGTATCACCAATTCTCTCAGGACACGAGAACAGCTTCTTGCCCATCATCAACGAGGTGTGGCCATCAGTAGCCGCAAGGATCAGCCTTCCCTCATCCTTCACTAGCAGCTCCTCATCAACAGCGCTCATGGCAAGAGAAGACTCAAACAACGGACCCAAGAACCGACCAGACGACGAATTCGACTTCAAAGAAGAAATATACGTAACCACAACAGCCTGTCAAGCCATCGAAAGCATGTGCAAGAGCGCGGGAGATTTCATGGCGACCCGAATCGAAACCGAATTCCCTCGATGGGAGCGCCTCTACCGTCGCGTATGGGAGACCGTCCGACAAGACGCCGAAAAGGCCATTCAGCGACGAGCCAGGAGCCAAGCCACCAACGAAAAGACAGATATACTTCTTTCATTATCCCTGGGTCTCTCACAATCATTATCTCTCAATACAGCAGGGGGGCCCTCAGGCACACGCACATTCACACCTCACCATAGTCTCTGGCGAGCTCTCCTCTCCCTGTTCATCACTCTTCTCACACATGTCCGTCTGCCTTTGTCTATGGGTGACCAGATCTGTGAATTCCTGGCGGCTTGGATAGCCCGGTTCGCTGGTCCAGATTACTATTCTTCTTCTTCGTCGTCATCGCCAAAGCAGGAAATCCCATCTTCTCTTCGTCCGGAAATAGACACTGTCAACAATGCTATCGAGGCAATGGAAATCTGGAACGTTGACCTGACTTGGTTCATTTTTCAGCAGCAAAAGGTACAAGTGCGGGATATCACACCTCAAAGAAAGACACCCAGTGCTTCCCTGATAAGTGAAATCGACGATGACCCCTTGCAAACGTGGTCATCACCAGGAAATAAATTGAAGTTTGCGGCGTCGGTGTTTTGAGTGTGCATGAAGACCTGGTTTATACAGGGGCATAGGCATAATGTGATAAGGAGAACATATCTTCTAAGGTATAACGATTGAATGATTATGTTGATAATACATTTAAAGCATCTGTGTAGATTGTTACGGTAGACGAATGGACTCTGGTTGTGCCAAAGAGAGTCGAGACCAATGTCTTCTTACCATTGATGGTGGCACTCAAGGTATGCCAGACAATACATATAACCCTACTGAATCACAGGATAGGTCTTTTCTTCACAATACATAGAGGGTTACTAATGTTGTGAAACGGTAGAGCACATCTTGGAACATCTCTAAAGCGTAGAAGGGGGCTCTAACGTCTGCAAAAGTACTGTACTTTGATACCCAGGGCAGGTTTACGATAAATATAGGATCATCATGTGCGAGAAGATTCAATTTGCAAAGCACTAATCTCAGCAATTTCTTAACTGTTTCTCCTGATTATTCTCAAACCAGAAACATCACAACAGGTCATGATGACCGTCAATAAAACTAAGCGAGTGGAGAGTAGTTGGAACGACGAATCAAAGCCAAACAAAAAACACCCCGAAAGTAGTTTCCATAAAATAGAGGACCATTAATAGATCAGCTGATCTATTCGTCGTCGCTCTCCTCTTCGCTCTCCGACTCGGCATTCTCAAGCCATTCGAGGAAAGGCGCAGCAGCCTTGCGGACCTTCTTGCTGGTGGAGATATCAACATACTTCTTGCTAGCCTTAGAGCCCCATGCCTTGAGGGTCTCCTCGGAGATGATATCCTCTTCGTAGAGGCGAAGGAGGACGGCAGGGATTTGGCTGATCAACTCGGGGTGATCCTTGCCAACGAAGCGTTCAATACCACCCAAGAAGGCCTTCTCGTGGCGCTCCGAGGTAATCATCTTCTTAAGCAGACCAGCGCGGCCAGGGATCTGCTTAGCAATGTCCTTGTCGAACATGGTTTGAGAAAGGACTGCCAGGGTCTTGTGCTTCGACTCAATACCATATTCCTTGGCCTTCATGTAGATGTCTACATCGCTGACTTTAGCAACACCACCCTTCTCAGTCGCGGTGTCCTGTACCCAGCTACCAAGCTCATCATAGGCAGAAGGACCATCAGCACCATCCTCGTCCGCATCCTCGATGACCAGGGAACGCTTCAGGTCATCGGGAAGCTCCTTGGCACGAGCACGGACGGCCTCCTCAGAGACGTCGACGGACCACTGAACTTCATCGGCATCCTCAGCTTCAATGTTATCGGCCTCAGACTTAATACGACGGGTAAGCTCATCGTCACTGCCAGCGTCCATGCCCAGGTCGCCATTCTCGGCGTCACCATTGTCAGAGTTGCTGTCTCCCGGGCTGCCGTTTTCTCCATTCGCTGTTTCATTCTTCTTGTTCCGCTGTTCACGACGGGTCTTCTTGTCGGCCTTGTTCTTTTTCCCTCCTTTTCCACTAGTTTCGTTGCGGAGGATGAAGGTGCTCAGTTTCAGACGGGAATCAACATCGGTACGCTGTCCGCAGGCTTTGCAATCCAGGATAATCTTGTCATCCTTGATGATGACGTCGGTTTCAGGGTTCTTGCACTTCTTGCAAAGAACGAATTTGGAGATGAAACCGTCAAGGTAATCCTGGAGCTTGGCAGCATCGTGGGCGCCATTGATGATCCAACGTTCATCGGTCGGCTTGGCGTTGGCCTGAGCACCAAGCTCGAATCCGAAGTACTTGATCACGTATGCAGGAGGACGGCTAAGGGACTGAGCGACCGAGTTCAGGTTGACAACAACGGTCTTGATTCCATTGCCCTTGCCCTCAATCTTGGACTGCAGGCGCTCCATCTTGTAACGATAGAAGGGATCGGTAACATCCCGACGAATGTTGACGGTAGCCATGGTGAATAAAGATGAAGATCTTTGTTTACTTAAGAAGGTGTCTGAAAGCGAAGCGGGAGGGATTCCGGACTAAGGATGTCTTGACAGTACAAGACATGCGTAGTGAGTTCCTGATTTTGGAGGAATGGTGGCGGTTAAGATCGTCTCAACGGAACGACTGGCACAGCGAAGATGGCAGCCCAAAGCTTTCAGCCACAGGACTTAGAATGTATACTACAAGGTTTCGACGCGGGGCGAAACGTTTGCAGCTTGAGCGGCAGGTGGTAGTCGAGATCTCTGACACAGGACGAATACATAGACAAGTTTCGATCGACTGTTTTAGTGGACTTCTCCAACGGGAAGAGAGAGAAACCAACAGGGTGGTTCTTCTGTAAGGCAGCAGGTAAAGACACAGGTCAGAATTTCGATACTTTCGATGACTAGTGGCTGACGACGAGATGACCGTAGAACTAACCAGTGGCTTTGATGAATCAAAATGCGCAGTAACAACCGTAAGCCGTGTTTAACAGCTTTCCGGGGAGCTTTGGAAGACGTGGCAATGTCAAGAACTGATGACTTGACGATGAAAAGAAGAGCAGGTTGGGATGGGAAAGAAAGAGAAAAAGAGGAGGGAAAGAGAAAGAAATTGTTGCCAAATAGAAGGGACAATTCGAGTGCTCCACCGCCAAGCCCGGCAGAAAAAAAATAGAAGAGAAAAAAAACCCACTCTGAGTCAGCAGACCGGCTTCTTTCCGGATCAGGTCGGCTCCGAGCGCACGTGCACAACGCCCTTTCAAACAATCGCGTTTCGGGGTTATGTCGGATTTAACATTCCTTTGGTCGGTTGATTTCAACATCACACATCTGCCTGCACCGACAAACATTCCTCGGTTAGCCTTGCTTCACTTCTGTTGTTTACCTTTCCTTACGCGGTTGAGCGAATTTTCATGCAAGATACAGCCGGTCTGATTCCTGTACACTGTACAATCCCTTGTGTTGTACGAAAATACAACTAGTTGCCATGAACCTAAAGAATACGCTTTGAGCTACGTACAACTGTGAACCACTCGGCGGCACCACGATGCAACACAATATCGCATCCTTGGATACTGCCGATCCTTTGATCCTTCATTCATGCAAATTTTTGATGAAGAACGACCAGTAGAATACCCCAACTTCACACCCCTCACATAAGGCTCGGGGTGACTACTTGAATTAGGTTTAGAGTGAGGTTCGCTAAAGTACTGGTTTCAGCGCGATGCAGGGGCCGAAGTTCGCGAGTCGTTTCTGTCTTAGGCACCACTGCAGCTAGCCATGCAGAGGAAGTTCCAAGGAGTAGCTGAATGGCTATACTTTCTTTGGATACGTGCATGTTGTAGACATATGGGTGTACTCGGTATATTTATGGACAATGCTTAATCTACTACCAGGACGAGGCATATCCCAAATATTACGGAAACATTGTCCTGGGGCTTGTAACAGTGCATAGGACAGCACAGTTGTACAGTTCCGCTATATTAAAAGCACTCATTGTGTTGAGTTGTGGTTTAGAAGGTCGAACTTTGCCCATTCAGGGCTCTATATATACTCGGTATAGGTACTAACTGGTTGTGATCTAAACTATACCAATGTACTACCCGATCATCTGTGCTACGATATCCCCAGACTGAAGGGAAGTTGAGTCAATACAGGGTTGGATCTATTGTAGGGTTATATAACATCAACAGACTCTAGGTTATGGTACTAGTAATTATTGGCGATGCGACAGTATGACTAACTAATATTGCGTAAATGGATGCAAACAACCCCAACGTCATTTCACCCTCTTCTTCGACCGGTCCGACTATATCACTGCCATCGTGAGCAGAAGACCTATGACTGTCATCTTATAGAAGGTATTGTGTTCACCCATTTGCCATGGGAAAATTTTCCAGGCTCATCCCTATCCTTGTCCCCACATACCCCACGTGCCCCTCCACCAGTGTCTCGACGCTTGATGAAAGTCCCGTAAATGCAGCCATAGATACTAATTAGTGCAATCCAGAAAAGTAAAAATGCCGTTAAATCTCTCCTTGTATCTGGTTACCGACTCGACTCCGGCTATCCTCAAGGGCCGTGATCTGTGCACGGTGGTGGAGGAAGCTTTGAAAGGAGGTCAGTCATTCTCTACTCCCGGCAAATTCTCCACTAACGCTTGGCGTAGGTGTCACGATAGTCCAATACAGGGACAAGAAAAGTGATACAGGAGAGCAGATACAGACAGCTAAGAAGTTGCATCAGATCACCCAGAAGTATGGGGTTCCCTTACTGATCAATGACCGTGTGGATGTTGCTCTTGCCGCTGGAGTTGAGGGCGTCCATCTCGGTCAAGATGACATGGGTGAGCTATCCGCCTCTGCCATGCAGTCTTTATGGGCTAATATCTTGCAGCTATTGAACAAGCAAAACAGCTTCTTCCTAAGGATGCTATTATTGGTATCACTGCTGCCTCGATAGAAGAGGCTCAAAAGGCCATTGATGCCGGTGCAGACTACCTTGGGATAGGAACCATGTTTGCAACCCCAACGTATGTTATCTACTACAAAGCGTTCCAGCAACCATACGGTTTACTATTTCAAAAATCATACTGACCCCTATTAGCAAGACCAACACCAAGCATATCATCGGAACTGCCGGTACCCAGGCTATTCTTGATGCCATCTCGGACACGGGCCGCTCTGTTGGGACCGTCTCAATTGGTGGAATCAATCTCTCCAACGTTCAACGAGTCCTTTACCAGTCCAGAGCTCCCAGGAAGGAACTTGACGGTGTTGCCATTGTCAGTGCCATTATAGCCGCGGACGACCCGAAGGCCGCAGCAGCTGAATTCGTGAAACGTATCGCCAGTCCCCCGCCATTCGTACGAGCCCCAGCTGCTCCTCAGATCCGTGAAGTTACTGCACTACAGGAGGAGGTGCCAAAGATAGTCCAAAAGGTCGTACAAGCGCATCCTCTTGTGCACAACATGATCAACTTTGTTGTTGCTAACTTCGTTGCTAATGTTGCTCTGTCAATGTAAGTTGCCTCGATTGTGCGACCTGCGCATCTCAATTAAGTGTCTTCTAGGGGTGCTTCTCCTATCATGGCCCCGCAGGGGGATGAGGCTGTGGATCTCGCGCAGTTCGATGGTGGCCTAGTCGTCAACATGGGTACCTTGACTAGCGAGAGCGTTCCCAACTACCTGAAAGCTATCAAGGCTTACAACGAGCGTGGTAACCCCGTTGTATATGATCCTGTTGGTGCTGCCGCTACACACATTCGTCGCGGAGCGGTCAAACAGCTCATGGCAGGGGGATATTTCGATCTCATAAAAGGCAACGAGGGAGAAATCCGACAGGTCTTTGGAAGCAGTGGTGTGACTCAGCGTGGTGTTGACAGCGGTCCGAGCAGTCTGGATGGTCAAGCTAAGGCCATCCTAGCTCGGGACCTGGCTCGGAGAGAGCGTAAGCCGTCACCTGTCCTTTTCTCATTGAAACCATACTAACCTAGTCTGTCACAGACAACCTTGTTCTTCTCACTGGCGCCGTTGATTATCTCAGTGACGGCGAGCGTGTTATCGCAGTGGAGAACGGACACGAACTCCTTGGACAAGTCACTGGCGTATGCTTACTTCCCTGCTTCCACAGAACAATCATAAGACAATATGCTGATATGACATATAGACTGGCTGTGCTGTTGGAACTGTATCCGGCTGCTTCCTCACTGCCCACCCATCCGACAGACTCCTGGCTGTCCTGTCCGGTATTCTGATGTACGAGATCGCAGCGGAGAACGCCGCCTCGAAAGAGTACGTGCGGGGACCTGGCAGCTTTGTTCCTGCATTCCTCGACGAGCTCTATGCCATCCGCCAGGCAGCCCTGAAGGGGGACCACAGCTGGTTTACCGGACGGGCCAAGATCCAAGTGATCGATTTGTAAAGGCATCAGCATATGTTGGTTTCATGTGAATATAAAAGTTACTAGAAATGCTGTACACATTCCCAGATAAAAGAACCACACTCTCTTTCTCTCACAGGAACAGGAAGATAGACAAACCCAAATGAATGAAATAACCATACACCCCCCGCAAGAGAGGACCAATGTCCACAACCTCGATAACATAGTCCCATTTTCTGCCTGACAGACCAGGCACCAAATCTCCGATCATCTCCGCATACTCCTCACGGACTTCCCCGCCCGATGGCCTCGGCAGTCAGTCATTTCTTCTTCCTCTACAATTGTTCAATTAACCGCAAGCTCATTTATTCCATTTCACACATCCCACATTCAACTCACCGGTCCCAATCACTATACCTAAACTCCTATACTAAAACCACCCAAAATGGCCACCATCACAAGAGCAGCCCGCATCCGTAAGTCCCGTCCCCCCCCACAAGACCAATATCTAGATAACCACTAACAAAAAAGCAACAGGCAACCCAGCCCTATTGTACGTCCATTAACCCCCGATAGAAAATGAGCCACGAACCTAACAAACCCACAGCATCTGCGACATCCAAGAGAAATTCAGACCGGTGATCTACGAATTCTCCAAACTGTACGTCACACATCATTAACCAGAAGCAATCCACCATCAACCCAAGAACACCACCACCACAACTTGGAACCCTATACTATATTAAAAAAAAAAAAAAAAAAAACAGAATCCCAACAACAGCCAAACTCCTCAAAGCCGCCAACACCCTCCAGATCCCAACCTACGTGACGACCCAAAACCGGGCCAAACTCGGCGACACGGTTTCCGAGCTCAAGCCGCATCTCTCGTCGCCGAATGTGAAGGCCGATGTCGACAAGACCCTGTTCTCGATGATCACGCCGGAGATTGAGGCGAAGCTGCCCAAGGTTTCTGCGGGGGAGGCGGGCCTTGATGCTATTATTGTCGGGATTGAGACGCATATCTGTGTTACGCAGACGACGCTGGATTTGTTGGAGAAGGGGCATCGGGTTTATGTTATTGTGGATGGGGTGAGCAGTGTCAATAGT